GATTTAGCGACTACTAGGAGAAGGGGTAAACCGCTCTACTATTGGCTCTATCTCTCGACGCCGCCGACTATTCAACGGACATCTGACGGCCGCTACGGGAAACTTTAAAGAGAGACGTGAACGCTACCCTCGCGAATCGCGCCTGCTTATTTCTATGAAAATCAATGGAAGAGAAAGAGATAGAAAGAGAGAAAGGGAGAAAGAGAGAAAGAAAGAAAATTAGAGATACATGGGATATTAACTATGCATATTTATTCTTTTTTTCCGTCAATTATTATTATTCCATTATATTTCTCTTACTTCCTGTTTTTCTTAAATATTTTATTTATAAATAGGATATAATAAGATTGAATTAGTTTATACTTTATTTTTCTATTTTGTATAGAATAAACTCGATGATATATCGTCATTTATTAAATCATGTTAGTTTAGTAAAAGTACATAATTTTAATCGCGATCCAGACCACATCGATAATCCGATAATAAATTTGATATACCATTTATTTCGAGAGATTCGAGTAACTGTCGAAAAATTGATGAGAAGAAAATAATTTAGAAAATTATAAAGAAGGGTAAAGAGAAAGGAGAGACACAGAGAGGCTTGTCATTTAATTTTAGCACGATTCCCTTGTAGCCAATGAATGATGCTCGCAGGGGCATGTCTCACAATAACCAGGGAGTTGGTTGCAGTATCGATCCAAACTTTACGCACCTGGAGCGCACCTTCCAGTACTACTCTTAACGAAACAAAATTCACATCTTGCTAAACCTTGATTCAACTATTATCTAAACAATTTCTATTTATTTTGAAATAATCACGTTTTTTCTCTAACCGATCTCTACAAATTCTCTAACAAAGGATTCTCTAACAAAGGATTCTCTAACAAAGGAAGGAAACGTTAGTCTGATTTATTTCTATTTTAGAAAATTTACTTTCCAATTTATCCTGATTTATTAAATAATCCACATTTAATGTTAAATATATATTATATATAATATATTATATATTATATATTATATATTATATATTATATATTATATATATATATATATATATATATATATATATATACTTTTCTATAATTAGTCTAAAAAATAGAAAGCAAACATGGATTTTTTTCTTTCTATTACCGGAAATTCATTAACCAATTTGTCCTGTTTTATATTAATCCCGATGTTCGATAAGTTTGCCAAAACCTTTAATCCATATTAAATTTGTTTATAATTTCAAATAATTATTTCGCATTTTATAACATGTTTGATAGAAATTGAATGATGCAACGTAATAATATTTGTCATAGGTACGTTCCTACTCTAAACGAGAAAATAATAAAACGAGATAAATAAATAACTAATCGTGTTAATTATTTTCATTTGATACTCGCCCACAATATCTCTCTAATTAATCTACATACATAAATAGATTATAAAGAAAACTCAACACATCGATCTAAATAATATTGTTAACAATTAATAAACATTTGTAATAATCTATTTCATAATTATTTATTTATCGAGTTCAACGAGACTATGACCTAGCTTTTACCATTCGATAAAATGTTTACGAAGGTTTTCTCAAGGTACTATAAAAAAAAATATGAAGAAAAAAAAAGGAAAAAAAATGTAAAAAGGTCAACCACGAGAAGCATTTGACTAGAAGAGTGGATGCACTTATGTATATACACTCTCTTTATATATTTAAAGGTATAATAAAAATAATAACGATTAAACATTTTACAATGATGTAAGATCGTAAATTAACATGTAAACAACGTTTACGTAGAAATTTATAAGTGTTGGTAGAATTTAATCGATTTCCTCTCTCTATAAAAAATTTATCGATAAATAAATAAACGCGGTAATAGTGTTATGTAACTGTAATAAACTCACCCCTAAGAAAGGCCAGCTGATCCTACGTAGAATGATGCCACCCTCGCTACGGTATCTGACTTCCGATTTAAATATACTGTCCAACGAAGAAAGTTTCGATAAATGTTTCATTTTTCAAAATGATCTTTCAAAAATGATCCATTTATTTTTTTCCACAAATTGCATCGATAATTTTTTGTTTAATTTAAAAGCATTTATATCGACATCTCGGATTCGTCAAAGCAATATGGACGATATAATATCATAAAATTATTTCTCGAATTTCGAACATTTCTTCTTTTGTTTTTGTTACACAAAGAATAGAATGTGTAAATAATACTCTGAAATGAAAAATAAATTTTAATTTGATGTATTTTATTAATTATGTATTATTAGATTGATTGATAAATAATTAAGAAATTTTTAATATAAGAAATATATTATAGAAAAATGTATATATATATAATATTATATTATATTATATTATATATAAATTATTATGCATATATATAAATAATATATTAGAAAATTTTAATATAATATAAAATAATATATATTATAATATTATATATAATATAATTTAATATAAAAAAATATCAGAGCATTGTTTATACAAATAAAAAAATATATTGAACATTTGTAATTTGATTTATTTAAATTAGAAATCAAAAAATTACAACGCGTAACGCTAATTGTCACTGAACCCAATTACTGTTACAAAATATTTTCCTTTTTTTTTATTTTAATATAAAAATAGTTGAAAAAGAAATAGTATTTAAAAGATAATAAAATAAAACGTAATAGTAACATAATTGTTAAAGGTCACAGTCCGCCTATTACGTCTAAATCTAATTGTAAGTGCACTTAAAAACCGTCCTCATTGTCAATACCGTAAAGGTAACAAACCCGATAAGGGATATCTGATCCCACTGACTGCACTAGCATCTGTTCGTCGCATAATGCTATTTTATTAGTATGTCTTGTCAAATGAAAATAACAATCCGTTTGACGTATCTGATCTAAGTGACGTATAACGTAAATCTAAATTTTTATCAAACTTTTTACATTCCTTTATCCCGCACCTCTTCTTTTTTGTATAAAATCAAACAAAATTCTTGTCTTATAGGTTCGATAAATACTAACATACATATTGTGTTCTAAATATTTAATAATTTAATTAAATAATTTATTCATTTTTAATAACTTTTTCATTTTATAATTTTATATATATCAGGGTTTCGCAAACTTTTCCATTTGGCAACCCTCTTAAATTTGAAAATATTTTCGTGACCCTGTATATAGATTCTATACTATCTTCCCTTTCACTATCATAAACTCACAGACGTATTATAGGCGTAGTGTTGCCAAACTGGTTTAGAATTACTTTTCGATCGTTACGAGTCCAGTAAGTTTTTAATTTTACTCAAATTTCTACGACCCTGTATGGGGAGACGCTGGTGTATGATAATCTCATACTTTGAAAAACTCTTATATATATTTTTTCCCCGTTATATATTTAATTGCTGTTTTGTATGTTAACTAAAATAAATATTTATTAATTTAACACTAGATATACCACCATTTTCAGTATACCTATTTTTACCACACTAGTCAAAATGATTGGTGTATAAAAAAAGTGCTTTTTGAGGCTTCCAGTCTTTATTTATTCTTAAAAAAATAACAAAAAATGTTTAACAATAATAATTGTAATAGATTAATGGATTTATAGACATTTTTAAATAACAAAACGTTTAATTATTTACAGAAATCAAAAGTTACATGAAGTAGAAATTTTGATTTTTAAAATGGCCCGACCAGTCAAAATGACTGGTCTGGTATATCTAGTGTTAATTTAATAATCAATTAATTTTGTAATAAAAATTTACTTGACTTATAAATTAAATTTCAATTATTTATATTATAAATAAAAGATATAATATCAAAATTATATAGTTCTTACCGAAAATGTAAATAGAACGCGTCGGCAGAAAAGATTTTTTAATCGATATGTCAAAGAGAGAAATTCAAGGACACGATTTGAAATAACATCTGTAAGGAGGATTTATGTGGTTGACCGTATTGAAAAAAAATTCTTACACAAGATTTTCTTTAACTTCTTCTTCTTCTTCCCCTCTTCTTCTTCTTCTTCTTCTTCTACTGTACTTTAACTTGTTAATATTATCTTTTTCCTTTGTTTGCTTATTATTATCTTTATATATGTATAGATATATAATACGCACACATACGCGATCTCAAAGTTCATGAAAATCTTGTTTGTAGCATTAAAATGTCAGCAGATCAAGAAGAGAATTTGCAAACCGTCTCGATACTAACACAGCCCCCGAGGATACCCTTGGCCTCTATTTGTACTCCTAGATCATCGACACCAATCACTATAAAATGTAATATACATGTATTTAATTCTGTATAAAAATAAAAGACCAAACAAAATGGGGTTTTACCATCTTCTTGATCTAACGATTAATGATTTTCCGAATATTAGATCATGTTATTAATAATAAATATTTGTTATTAATTTTTACTATTAAATTGTAAATAATTAACTTGTACTTTTATTCTGCGCTTCCCGCTCTTTACCTATTTCATATTTTCCTTCGTAATATCAAATTTGAGATTTTAGTACCAAAAATAAACGTTTGAGTGTGCTGATGTTTACTTCTTTTTCGAAAAAACGATACAAGTTGCGCCATCTTGTCGATCGAGAGATAACTATCTCTATTGTTTTTTTTTTATTTAATACACCATGAATTTATCATAAACCCATAAACAACGTATACAAAAATACTGAAAATATACAAGTTCAACGATGGACTTAAATGTTAATTTGTATGTGAAATCATTTAAAATTAGCTGTAAGGATTGGATTAAATATATGGCAAAATCGTCTCAATTTGTTGATATTAAAATTAAAAAATATCTATAAAATTGACAATAAAATAGAGTTAATTTTTTTTTAACAATAACGTTTATTTTTTATTTTTTATATTTATTATTAATAAAAGCTTTATGTATAAAACGCATATGTACATTCGTAATATCATTAAAGATCGTATTCAGTCTCTCTCCACACACACACAAACCAATTACGAACGTTTATATATAATTTTTTGTTTTTTCTTTTCACGTCGTCATTGAATTATGTCAATTGAACATATATGCATATCAGAAAGTAATGTACATTAAACATAAAAGCGCATATGAAATTAACATAAAGCTTATTGCATGTGCGAGATTTCATATCAACGATCGTTAATACATTTTTTTGCTCATCTCTTTTTTGTCTTTATCTTTTTTCATTTTCTTTGGAATCGTATGTATTAGATCTGTCTTCCTTCATAATCAATGAAATCCCATTAAAAATCTCAATATATCACAATAATCACGCTTATAGGAAACAAAAGTTATATATATATTTTCCTGGCACAATAAAGTGATTAAAAAATGATTCATCTTCTATTCAATTAGATGTACGATTAGCCGGATATGTTTTAATTTAAAATTAATTAATCGGTATTTTGTAATTCCTAGAATTTTCTTTTTAACGTGTGTCAATAGATTTAAAAAATGTGAGAAATAAAAGGATTTTCAAGCTAATATTTGTCTACATATATTCGTTGCAATTTAAAAATGAGGATTCAAGATAGTTAAATAGTAATAGTCGAAATTATGTGAGATCTATATCAATGAGATAATTGTACTCATTAGTTCGATTCTTTGGTTAGCAAAGTATCATCTTTACTTGCTGTAACAAAAAAATCTTTTCTAGTAAATGAAGAAAAAATTCTAAATGCCATCTATCGATGCATCCTTCTCTTTCTTTCTGTCTTTCTAAAGTGAGTTTTCTATTAGCTTTGTACTCTAGGACTAAGAAAAATATTTTCACGTAATTATCATAAAACTGTCATGCCCTATTCGCGTTTTTCAAATTCGTATTGTAAATTAAAAGGAACTGTGTTATGAGATAAATAATTAGGATTATCAATTGAAAAAATTGTCAATATTCGACAACATGAGAAATAAATTATTGCATTAAGTATTGCATTTCTGCAATGCGTGTTGAATCGCATACAAATGTTGTAATTGAATCAACGAGTCGTATGCCGTGATTTACCAATTCATTATTATAATAAACTAAGTTGAAAATGAATCATCCAGAGTTAAATTACCAGATGAATTTCTGCTATCTGGCGACTGCATCGCAATATATCGTTTACGTAAAATCTCTTGTAAATCATTACACGGACTATTTACACGTTTCATTTGTAATGGCCGACCCCCGGGAGATCTAAACATGCAGAAAATTATGCGATATCATATTATCGATGTGTACTCTTGTATTTTATTGTTTCATTATACTTTACCTTGCAATTGGCCTCAATTTAACTTTATCGATATCTTTTAATATGTCACCCATTGATTTTTGAGTATTTAATGGCACTTTTTTACGATCTTCAATTTTGTGATCTTGTAAACTTGCTCTCCTTGCAATATGCGGTGTGGAGGGTGGCGGAAGTGGTGGTGGTGGCGGTGGTGGTGTTGGTTTAAGATCTTCTTTCTCGCTGGACAACGATGCAGCCGATGCATCTGTAACATAGAATATTTTCTTTTCTATAAAAATATACATATATCTTCCTACTTCTATTTTTAAAAAGTTATCTCATAAATATTCAAATTTATATAAATGCGTATTACATAATACTTACATTGAGATTGTTTACTATTTTTAACTATTACCGATATCTGTTCTCTGAGCTCTTGCAATTCTTGTTCCAAAGCAAGCAACCGAATTTCTGAACCAAAACTAATTGGTTCTAATAAATCTGGTCTACTGCCTAGCAACCTACCACTATAAAAATAACAAAATAACATTAATTGCGTATTTGATAAATGAAATATAATTTATTATAATAATCGTTATAACAAACCTTCCAGGTCCATAACCATTAGAATCAACATAATCACTGCTAGTTTCTTCATTAATCATAGAACTTGTCATAGAGTGCAGAGGTGTTACACTTACATAAATTTTTGGTGGTGGTCTTAAAGGTAAGAATGATCCAATTCTGCGAACAATACTCCTTCTTTTTCCATAATATTTAGGTGCTTCACCCATCTAAAACAAAATAAAGATTGAATTTTTTAATGTTTTATTAATAAAAGTAATTAATTGTTATACAAGTCCTATAATGTTACGTCCTAATTGAAATGTAGAAATTTAGGTTAATAGTAATCCTTGTGAATATGATACAATAAAAGTTTACCTTTCAAATTTATAAAATGTTATTCCTACAATGTGTTACTTTTAAATTCCAATTCCAATATAATACATGAACACGTGCAAGATATCTGGCTGGGTACATCAGGGTCATTCGAAATTTAAAACAAAAATAGATTCTTTACTCGACGCAACATACATATGACTGCACAACGACAGGTTGTTGAAAAGCAACGTAACCAAGCGAAACAAAAAAGCCATGAACTATATAATATAACCTAGAACTTCGAAAGATTTGAGAGGTTATCTTATATATATTTCACAATGCATGAAATATAAGAACCTCCGTGATAAGAACAAAATAAAACGTAATACCAATGAATATAGAAGTACATAGAAGCTCACAAATCTACTTTTCTCATAACCACATTCATCTTAGTTTGTACCCTAACCACTAGTGGGTGAGAGTACTTAACGCGATGGCGGTACAATACTATCGAAGATAGGGATCCTATAGGAGGGATGCGCCATGTACATTGCTGGGGGACCGGAACTCGATTTTGCGCGCGAATGATTCAAACATTGAAATAATTATGAAATAATGAATTGCATCAAATACAGAAAAAATGAACTATATTTAATGATAATTAAAAATTTATATTAAAATAGAATATGTTACGCAAAAAAATTACATATTACATTTTCAGCCTTGTAATCCACATGGCGCGTCCCTCCTACAGAATCTCTATGTGATCCTATTGACGTGACAGAAAACCGTTGACCATTGTCTTAGCGATATTGCGTATTTGTAAAAAAAAAAAAACAATACATATATATGGTTTATTTTTTTTTAACGGTGTATTTTCCAAACATATACACTATTTTCAAGTATTTATAATTAATAACGTATTATAAACATAACTTTTGTTCAATAACATAAATATAATAATTCATTATTATAAATATAACACTCAAATTAAATAAAATTAACATAAAAATTCAATATTATGTTATTTATAACTTCATTATTTATTATTTTTTGTGTAATTTGTTAAAACATTTCAAGCAAAGTGCTGGCTGACCCTTGCAATTCCCACAATACGTCTTAACTCTTGTAGTTTTGTTAGTGGCATAATCTCTACCCTTTTTTAAGGACAAATTTTTATAGCATTCCTTACAGCGTTTACGGAACTCTCTTGCAGATCCCTCATATGATTGAAGAACATGTTTATGTGACGGTATATGACGGTATATTTGTTCATTGGCCAAAAGGCGATCAATAATAACTTCCCTAAATTGTAACATATTCATATTTTTAGTGCCCCATCTTTTATGAATATACCAGGCATTCACGAGGGAAGTTCCGCATATTAATTGTATTATTACTTTTCGGTACCATTTAATAGTTTTTCGTAAATAACTGTAATACCCCGATAGTTGATCTGATAAATCAACACCTTTTTTTGCAATATTATAATCAATTACAGCATCGGGCTTTACTTTGCCATTTGTTTCTTGTACAAATTTACACTGGTGATTCTTTGAGGTAGTTAACATGCAAACTAGTCTTTTGTCAGTCCATTTCAGAAATTTGACACCGCTACGATTTTCGAAACTCATAATTTCACCACGTTTTTGTTTTTGTTTTGCCTGTGATGGTAGAAATTTCTTGTTTATATTTACAGTACCACAAATAAATGTATTGTTCTTTAAAAGTTCTTCCCCCAAAGGGACACTTGTATAATAACTATCAATAAATAGTATGCGGCCCTCAAATAATAAGCCATTTAATAATCTCATTATTACATCATGAGAATGTGATTTTTCAATGATCGTTTCATTTTTCCTGACATAAATTTCAATATTATAAGTGTAACCTCCAGGCAAACACAATTTGTATAATTTTATGTAACACTTATGTCGCTTGTCTAAAATGTGTTGACGTAAACCCAGACGTCCTCTCCATGTAACCATACTTTCATCGATAACGATATTTTTGCCAGGTTTAATAGAACTCTTGAAGGTATCCACAATTGCTTCAACAATGTTTCGAATTTTGTGCAATCGATCTTCAGTTCTGGCTGTGGTATTGTCCGAAAAATGTAAAAACTTAAGAAAAGATAGAAAACGGTCACGTTTCATTGCATTTTTTATGCGTGCATTTGTATACATGTCTTTGTTAGACCAATATAATCTAATTTCTGGTAATTGTACTACACCCATAATAAGCAATATACCAATAAAAGTATTCACTTCATCTCTTGTAACAGACTGCCAGGCTTTTTGGTGCATTCTACTGCTAGATGAAGAATTATGTATGCATTGTGTAGCATATTTATTTGTTTCTTCAACTATCTTCTCTAGTATATAATCCGTGAAAAATAGTTTGTATAAAGTAAAAGGGTCATTACAGTCAGTGTTTTTATATAAAAATTCTTCTTCTTCCGAATATTCATTTATTACTGAAGTTCTTTCTTTTACTTCCTGCCATTCTTCATCGTGATCCTCGTTCTCTGATTTAGACACCAAATCTTCTTCCTCCGTGGAACATTCGTTCATTTCACTGTTTACATTAACAAAATCCTCGTCTGAAGAGAAAGAATCTCGTAATCTTGATGCCTTTTTCCAGCTTCTATTTATAGACTCATCAGACGAATCACTTATTTCCATATCCATGTTATCTATTAATTATAAGGGCAAAAATTAAAAAGACATTCTAACCACCTTTCTAGTTATACTTACTGATAGAAATCTGTAGTCAGGATGAAAAAACGGCACGGGTTATACAACTTGCAAAATAATCACTCACTTTACTACTGTACTGTAAACATACGAGTATACAGGTTTGAACATGCAATAATCGCGCGCCTCCAGATGAAGCGCAGCATAGAGATCCTGGCGCGGCATAGGGATCCTATGCGCGGTGTGGCGATACGTGCCTAGTGTATCGACGCGGCACACTGGCGCCCTTCCTCCCTATGCGGGTACTAGACTAACTAAACCCAAGTTGAACGTAACGGTCGAAATGTAAGTTAGTCCTAT